CCCCCCTCGCACGGCAACCAAAACCACCACGGAACTATTGGGCGGTGTTCGGCCGCCACGGGACCTTGCAGGGCCCAGGGCCGTCGAACCACTACAAGCAGGGATGAGGAACCAGCCCCGGTGATCCCCCGGGGCCCTCGCGGAAGCAAAACATGCGATGTCGGGGGTCTGGCGGAGGGAGAAGAGGGCTTAGTGAGGGAGGGACTCAGACTCTCTTGGCCTTCCCGCACCAATATTCGAAGAGGCCCACCGCAGACGCCGATCCGATTGCCAACGGCATAATAACATAAACTTGTGGCGCTCCGCGCGCATTTCGTGGATCCGCGCTGGACCCTTCCTCCCCGGCGCGCGGAGCGTCCCATGGGCAGCGCTGGAGGCGCCGCCGGGAGGGCCACAACGCGGCTCCAAGAAATCCGCGCGGAGCGCTCAAAATGTATGTATCTGGCGTTCTTTCTTCTTCGATTTCAGATTTCTCCAGCGCAGGTGGTCCCCGGGTGTGTCGAAGGGCGCGTCGCGGGTGGGCCGCGGATGGTTCGCGGGTCTGGGTCGCGGGGCGGGTCGCGGCGTGGGTCGCGGGGCGGGTTGGGGGTGGTTCGCGGCACTGGGCCAGCACGAATAATGGTAATAATAATGATAATAATGATATGAACAATAAGAATAATAATAATAATAAGAAGAAGAAGACAAACAATAACAATACTAGTATCAATAATAACAATAATAATCATGATCGTAATCCGAATCGTACGAATATGAACATGAATCCGCACCGCGGAAGCGTACTTCAGCTACGAACCCAGAAACAACGCAAGACCATGCGGCCCTCTCTCTCTGACTTGGGGGTCCATCGTCCCTGCGGCTGGACCCCGCCTTGGAGTCATGGTCAGGACGCGCCCTGGGGAGATCTTGGGACCGGCTTTGAGGGGGAGGGGGTAGGAGTAGAGGGAGGGAGGGAGTCAGAGGGAGAGGGGGATCGAGCGGTCAGGGCCGTGCTGGAAAGCGGGAAAGGCCGATCCTCCAAGTGCGAGGGAAGGATAAGAGACAACACAAACAACTCACTCGAAGAGGCTGAGGGAATCTCAAAGTTGGAACGAAGGCCACTTAATGGCGAGGAAAAACATTCACCACCACCACCACCACCGTCCCTCTCCCCCCAGCTCTGGGGAGGAGGAGGCCCTCCACCACTGCAGGCGCCCAGAGGTCCCCCCAGAGCCCCAAGACGGGTCCGAGACGGCCAGAAGCCAAGGTCCTCGAGCCTCGATCCCCTACCCCCCCCCTCCTGCTCCTCACCCACCTCCTCCTTCTACTCGTCCATGGGGCCACTGCAGGAGGGGTGCAGGATCTGCTCGACTGCGGGACACAGGCGGGCAGGGCGCCCCGCGAGGAAGGAGGAAACGCCCTGGGCGGTTCACGCCACCGCCGCCGCCGACCAACCCCCGCACTGCGCCCTCTCCAGGTTGTGGTGGGCATCCTCCGTCGTCGTACCCTCAGAGATGGGCGTTGAACTTCCTCATAGCCTCCGAATCGTGAAACGACTTGCGAGGCCATAAAATCACCAGGGCATGCCTGCGAATGGCCTCTTTGCCTCTTGACCACTTGGGGCCTCTTTAGCATCACACTCACTGCTTGGCAGCGGCTCCGTGGCACGGTGGATCGTTCTCTCGGGGCTTCACCTTGCAGCCGTGGCCTCGCGGACGCTGGCGGACTCTGCGTGGGGAGGCCATGCCATCATCCTGTCTTCCGCCTCCTCCTCCTCCTTCTCCTCCACCTCCTCCTCCTCGGTTGGTTGAGTTGGTTGGCCTGTTGCTCTCTGGTCTGCCCTCATGGATGGTGAGGCACACTGCCGACCTACGCGCGCACCCTCTGACTGCACGTTCGTGCATGCACGTTGCCCCGCAGGGCGCGCCAGCACTCTCTGCATCGCGGTGCCGCGCGGGAACACACCCTCGTCCACCCTGTGTGCTTCGCGCTTTGCTGCTGCCGAATGGGCCCTTGGAGTATTCCAGAAGGGCCAGTCTGGCGGCGCCTTGTCCCCCAATCGCCCAGTGGCGGCGCGGGAGCGTCGACCCGTCGTTATACGGCGGAACGTGTCCGCAGAGACCTTCACACCGGGCGTCCTTTCCCAATTTCGGGCCCGGGAGGCATCACATGTCGATCCGGCTCTATAACAGACAGATGGGGTCTAGGGCTCCTGTCCTAATGTTTGTCGATGTTGCTTTGAGCGCATGTTTGTTGCATTCGCGGCCATAGCGGGCGTTATGGGGGGGGCGGGGACGGGAGGGGCATCACGTAGCGCCCTTTCCCTCCCAAACTGTGGTGCTGGACTCACTGCGGCAGTGCCGGGGACGCACTTAGAGGGGGGAGCGTTACGTTATGGGGAGGGGAAGGGGGTATGGTAGGGGGCATATCGCGCGTTATGACTCAGAGGTTGAATTAAAAACACTCTCCAGGGTAGCCATTCAACGGAACCAGCTGGGAAGGGGGAAGAAGAAGCGCTGACCTCCTCGCGCCGTGGAAGCGAACGGGACGGAAAGCTTCTCTCACAATTTTCAACCGCGGGGGCAGACGCGCTGCGGCAGTGCCCGGGACGCACCGTGGGGTGTGGGAGCGTCACGTTATGGGGGGGGAGGGGGGGAGGAGACATAACGCGCGTTATGGCCGAGAAGGTTAAAAAACATACTCTGCATGAACAACCGGTCCCAGGAGGCGTGGGGGTCTTTGGGGCTGCAGAAAAATCACGACGTCGGAGGTCTGGGATGGAACAAAAATAAGCAACGGACGGGATCGCATGCTCTTCGAGTTGGTATCTGGGCAGCTATACAGGACAACCAGCGGCAACATTGAGTAGACCCGCGACGTCCGCAACGTCGAGCGGCTCAATGTAAGGACGAACAACAATTGACGGCGTCCAAGTTGCAACCCGTCGCAAGGAACATCCCGGGGGCGGGGCGAGGATGGAGATGCAAGGCCATCCTCGGAAACCCACCTCATCATTGAGCGTATGGCCTTCCCCCAGAACTGCGCTCGCACTAAGAAGCTTCTGCTCTTCTCTCGTCGAACTCCTTGGCTGGATGTGTGTGCCTGGTGAGCGTTTCTTGATCCGGCATTTCGATATTGGGCGAAAGGGGAATTGTGGGGGGAGGGGGGGGGTCTGGCTCCGGGCCTCTGCTTCGGGCGACTGTTTGGAGGAGTGCGGCCTCTGGGGGAGACCCCACCCGCTCGAAACAGGCGCCAAAAAAGCAGCCAAGACCTACTCCATGGAGGCGGGGGGGGGGGAGGGGGGGGTTGGGGGGCCCGCGCCGATCGGCAAAGCGACGAACACAAGAACGATCCCCTGGGGCAGGTGCCCGTCCACGGTCTGGGGCCGGCCGGCCCCGTGCTGGGGCCCGGCCCCCGGAGAGCCCGCCCGCATCGCCGCTCCGCCGCCGCCGCCCCGTGCGAGCCCCGCGGGGATGATTCTGCTCCTGCCCTCCGCCATAAAAGGGCCCACAAGGGCGCCCGTCGCCTCGTTTTGTCGCGCTCGCAGGCTCGCCATCGCTCGGCCGCCCATTCCCCCAGTGCGTTTTTCGGCTTCGTGCGTGTTCTTTTCTTCGCAGGGTGATCCAGGCTGCTCTTTTCGATGGTTCTCGCCGAGAAGAAAAAATGCACACGTCCGAGCGATGCCAAGCAGGATGGGCGAGTACCTCGCGGCCACCCGCGGACTCCCTCACTGAGCACCCTCCGCACCGCTTCCGGCGGCGGAGGGGGCAGAGGGGACGGCAGCAGTGCCGACAGACTCGAGGACGGCCAATTCCTCGGCACTAGTCAGTGCGGCCCGTCGGCCGCCTTGAGACTGCACCCCATGAGATGCGCCGAACCGCCGTCGCCGCCGCCGCCGTCGTCGTCGTCGTCGGTCAGGGTCGGCGGCACCGGCCGTAAAGCCTCTCCAATAGCTTGCATCCCATTGGTTGCAGCGGGCAGGCTCTGTCCCAAAAGATACGACACCCTGCGACCACGCCGAGGCTGGACTGAACGACTCACCTGCGAATGTTGGCCGTTTTTTGCCATACAAACTTCTGCATTGGCTTTCAAACAGTACGAACCCAAAACAGATCCGCAACAAAACAAACCTTATTACTGCGCGCGCAGTCGCTGGAACCAGGACACAAAAAATACAATGCCACTCTGTGGCCACACGCGAACGTCCCCGCGCGCATGCCGAAACCATCGCGAGACCATCTGTGTGTAGGCAATTCCAAACAAACGTTTCCAGAAACATATGGGGAATCAATGGCTCTTGGTCGAAACATGTGTCCATGTCACTGCGCGCATTTAGGCATTATCCGCAGCTGATGAATTGCCAAAGTAAACCATAGACTGCATCACAATCACTACCATCATCGTCATCATCACCATCATCGTCGTCATCATAGTCGTCATTAGCAGCAGCATCGCCATTGCAATTGTCATTGTCGTTGCCGTCGTCCTGGTCATCATCGTCACCATCAGGAAGCTCGTCGCTGGTGCCGCCGTCTCCATTGTCACTCGCCCACCCAAGCCATGATAAGGTTCATCGCATCATTGTGCCAAGGTCTCCAAACGTTCATTGCAGCACATGCGCTGCACCACGTAGACTGCACCACGTACATTGACCCTCGTAGCTTGTAGCTCATACGTTGCTCCGCGTCGAGCCCGGGGGTCGCTGCCCCCCCAAGGGCATTGCAACGTGCATATGACTACGCCTCAATTTTCACTGCCCGCCTGAAATCCCACTATCCTAACCAACCCAGTATCGACCCATCCCTGTCAAGTAAAACATGCGCGCGCTGGTTCACCTGAAATTCTCAAGTGTCTATGATCCCTTGCAAGAGAACGCCACAATGTCCACGCGCGCGCATGTCGAACCCATAAAAAGCGCACTGATCCAGTAAACAGTGTAGCAGATGTCGAGAAACCTTTTGTGCTTCCAGTGAAAACATTGCAGTTTCCCGCCCGTGGGCAATTGCGGCACTCATTTGCGCAAGCAGTGGAGTTGACAACTCACCACTCACCAACAAAAACGCACCGCGTAGATGGCACCTCAGAGACTATTTTCGCCTGCGGCGAGGCAGATGCAAGTCGCACCAGCGTGGGCCTCATGGGAGCAACCGATTGGAAATGTGTCAGGCGTGCAGAAGAGAAGGGCCAAGACGAGGGCGGCCGCGCGAAGGGTGAGTGGAGGGGGGGAGCGCTCAGACGTGGAAGACCGCGGTGAGCGGGCCGGAGTGGACAGCCAGGGCAGCGAGGGAATCAGATACGCTCCTCCTCCCTCCTCCTCCTCCCTCCTCCTCCTCCTCCTCCTCCTCCTCCTCCTCCTCCTCCTCCTCCTCCATCCTCCTCCTCCTCCTCCTCCTCCATCATCCTCCTCCTCCTCCGCCTCCTCCTCCTCCTCCTGCTCCTCCTCCTCCTCCTCCTCCTCGTCCTCCTACTCCTCGCCTCCTCCTCCTCCTCATCTTCCACGGCCTCCGTCGCCGCCCACTTCGTCGCTGACGTCGTAGTTCTCTCCAGGGCGGGCGGCACCGGCCGTCAGGCCTTCGCAGTCAGACATCATACACACCCAGAGTCCAGGACCCATCGACGGTGCAGCCGCGATGGCGGACCGTCCCTCGAGCCCGACCCCCGGAGGCGTGGCCGCCCCTCGCGGCGCGCCCGCAGGGGCTGCCTGCTCGCGCGCGGCACTTCTCCCCCCCCCCCGCCCAGGCCTGGGGGCGCTCTTCAGCGTGGACACGTACTTCAGGATCTGGTGTGAGTGCACCATGGTGGAGTTCGCGCCGCGCCCGATCTCATCGCTGACCTCGCGGGCGGGAACGGCGTGTCCACGCGGACGGCCCCGCGGGCCCGGACTGCTCGGCCGAGACTCCCAGGGCTCCCGGGCGGCGCTGCGCGGGAACCCCCGTGCGGAGCGCACCAGCGGGGCCACGTACAGTCGGGGCATTGACCTTAGGAACCCTAAATAAGGAACGAGGCCCCTTTTTCCCAGAAGTTAAACTTCGGTCTCCCAAGGAAGCCCTAAGGAAAACCTGAGGCAAACTGTGAAATAATCGAGGAACACGGAGCCCCTCCCCAACGAATAGGCTTCCTTCGTCAGCGCCGCGACTGTACCCATGGGATCACGCTTGGGCGCCCCTTGAATTCTCTGAAGACTCTGGGAGGCCAAACTAGGCCAGCGTGCGCAGGGCGGGCGTGTGGGGTCGTTGGGCGTGCGTAGGAAGTGCACGCCGGCAGCCTGCATACCAACGCTGACCATGCCTGAGCGCTGTGGCTCGTCGTGGTCGCTGTGGGTGTAAGGTCTTCTTGGGTAGGCTTCACCGAACGTCGAGAGGTGGTGTCTCCAGAAGAATCAAAGGGAACCCCTGGGATCACGCCTCGGCATCCAGCCCGCGAGGGCCCGGATGTGGACACGTCCGCCGCCCGTGGCGGCCGTGCGGTACGCGTGCAGCGGGTCGGTCTTCTGCGGGCTGACGCCCGTCAGCTCGGCCCTGGCGGCGTCCGCCCCGCCCGGCGCGGCGGCTCCGAGCGCTTCGCCGATGGTCTCGTAGGCCACCGGACTCTCCGGGTAGGTGTGGAGCGCCTGGACCAGATCCTCGGCGGGGTCGTCCCCGGCCCGCACGGAGGCCTGCAACAAGCTGGTGTCCTCGGCACCGGGGAGGGACATCTCTCACCGCGCGCGGGCTCCGACGGAGGCGGGCCCTGGGAGAGTGCATGGATACGCCCGCTCCGCCCTGCAGGCAGGGGGAGCCAGTGGCCACCATCGCACCTAGAATGTCAGAGAACGGCATAAGCACGTTACGTCCTCGGAGGTCCGCACGGATCTCTTTGGGTCGGAGCTGGACCCGTCCTCCCATGACGCGCGAAGTGTGCCAGGGGCGGCGCCAGAGGCGCCGCCGAAAGTGTACCGATTGGACCTTCCAAAGTGTACAGTCTCAGCGAACAGGACACAGGAATGCGGGTCCAAAGCGTGAGCCTCCCAGCCAAAGGCCAAACGGTCCATGGAGACACCCCGAACAAAGAACAATCCTGGGTGGAGGGCCCAAACACGAAGAGCCCCCCCTCCAACGCCAGGGCTGCTCTCAGCCCACGTGCCAGCTGCATGCTTGTACCATGCAATGCTCTTCGAACCCTCAGAGGCTGTCGAAGAAGATGGGAGAAGACACACATACCGATATACCCATCGCTCGGAAGACGTGGGTAGAAACATTGAGCAGGAATGCGTTGAAAGAAGATAGGGTTTCTGGCCGCCCGCGCCCTGAAGAGGAAGGACAATAACAACTAGCATTGACATCGAGAATAAAACTACCTAGAAGAGGATTGTTGATGAACATCGGTTATTGGTCAAACGTACCTTCTTTAGAAGAACGATGGGTACGTACAACATGCACATCTCCCGCGGTGCAGCATGAGCAAAACTCCGAAGCGGGCGGGGGCCCTCCAGGAAGCAGGAAATGCCACGAGACCACAAAGCATGTAGCGGGTGCCGGCATGTTTCCTCCCCCCCTGTGCAGAATCAGCTTTTGAGCAGGGACCGACCGTCCCGGCATGCCTGTAGTCCTACCACAAAGTGTTCCTAGAACCCAATAATGTTCGAAGCACAAAACAGTGTTCTTAGAACATTAACCCGACGTGTCAAAATTAGCCTGGCAAAGGACCCAACCATACGCAGTTGTGAATACCGCAATTGTGAATCTATTCTTCGGTGGCGCTCCCTATGGGGTCACGAACCGTATGAGGGGTGTGCCGAAGGGTACACAACACGAACGAAAACGATTGGTCTGAGTATGAAAGCTTGAGCGCGGGCGAGTCTAAGCGCGAGCGAGTCTGACTCTGAATGAATATGCGTGCGATTGACTCTATTTGCATGACTGCGAGCATGGAGTCGCCGAATGTAAATGCATACGACTGTGAATGGTTTGGGTCTGCCTGACTCTGAGAACTCGTGAGACTGAGCGTAGCCTCCGCAAGGAGTTTTCCTGGGAACCCCGATAGCAGCGCCCGCGCGCCGCGACGCCCATGTCGGCGCGCCCCACACGAGGATCGCGCCCGCTTCTTCCCCTTCTTTTCCTTCCTCTTTGCCCGCGCACTCCAAAGTTCAAGGCTGCGGGCGCCGCGCTACGCGCAGGTCGGACGACGACGACGACGACGAAGAAATCGGCCCTAGGGAAGCTGTCCCGACCACCAGTTCCCTATGGGGCCACGAAACGTGTGAGGGGTGTGCCATATTGAGTGTGCGCGACGCATGCGGCCGGCAGCACTGGGGCCCTCGGTGCAGCTCCCTATGGAGCCACGAAACGTGTGAGGGGTGTGCCGAAGTGGGTGTGCGGGACGCATGCGGCCGGCGGCACTGGGGCCTTCGGTGGCCGAATTGGGTATGCGGGACGCATGCGGGCGGCGGCACTGGGGCCTTCGGTGGAGGGGCCACGAAACGTTTGAGGGGTGCCGAATTGGGTGTGCGAGACGCATGCGGGCGGCGGCATTGGGGCCTTCGGTGGAGCTCCCTATGGGGCCATGAAACGTGTGAGTGGTGTGCCGACCTGGGTGTGCGGGACGTATGCGGCCAGCGGCACTGGGGTCTTCGGCGGAGCTCCCTATGAGGCAAAGAAACATGTGAGGGGTGTGCCGAATTGGGTGTGCGAGACGGATGCGGCCAGCGGCACTGGGGCCTTCGGTGGAGCTCCCTATGGGGCCACGAAACGTGTGAGGGGTGTGCCGCAATGGGTGTGCGGGACGCATGCGGATGGCAGCACTGGGGCCTTCGGTGGAGCTCCCTATGCGGCCACGAAACGTGTGAGGGGTGTGCGGACTTGGGTGTGCGGGACGCATGCGGACGGCAGCACTGGGACATTCGGTGGAGCTCCCTATGGGGCCACGAAACATGTGAGGGGCGTGCCGACTTGGGTGTGCGGGACGCATGCGGACGGCAGCACTGGGGCCTTCGGTGGAGCTCCCTATGGGGCCACGAAGCGTGTGAGGGGTGTGCCAACTTGGGTGTGCACGACGCATGCGGCCGGCAGCACTGGGGCCTTCCGTGGAGCTCCCTATGGGGCCACGAAACGTGTGAGGAGGTGCCGAATTGGGTGTGCGGGACGCATGCGGACGGCAGCACTGGGGCCGTCGGTGGAGCTCCCTATGGGCCCACGAAACGTGTGAGTGGTGTGCCGAACTGGGTGCGCGGGACGTATGCGGCCAGCGGCACTGGGGTCTTCGGTGGAGCTCCCTATGGGGCCACGAAACGTGTGAAGGGTGTGCGGAATTGGGTGCGGGACGCAGGCGGCTGGCGGCACTGGGGCCTTCGGTGGAGCTCCCTATGGGGCCACGAAACGTGTGAGGGGTGTGCCGCAATGGGTGTGCGGGACGCATGCGGACGGCAGCACTGGGGCCTTCGGTGGAGCTCCCTATGGGGCCACGAAACGTGTGAGGGGTGATGGTGCTGATGACGGCGATGATGATGACGATGATGGTGATGATGACGGGTGAGAGGAGGAGGGAGGGGGAGGAGGAGAAGGAGGGAGGACGCGGGGACCGTCCCTTCAAAACGAGGACCCAACAACACAGGTTGGTTGGGAACAAGACAGTCTCAACCAGACATGTTCTAAGAACACGGCTTGGTAGGGCTACAGGCGAGCCAGGACGCCCCGCCGCTGCTTGACAGCTCCCGAGAGGCGGATTGTGGTTGCAAATCGGGCTCCGAGACTTTGATGCCGCGCAGCACCGGCACCGCGGACGCCAGGCAGGCGGAGAGCAGCGCGCGCGCGGCCGCGCCGCCGCGGGATCGGCTCCCGCCCATGCGGAGGCGGGGCGGGCGGTTCAGTTCACGGACTGCCATGTAGAAGAGATGAGGGGCGGCGGAGCCCTTCTGCGGAGAGGCGCGCGCGGGAGGAGAGCTGAAGGGGCCCTGGGGCACACAAGTAGATAGACACAGGTAACAGGATGCCCCATATTTCCTATGTTTTTGGAGTTTTCGTCCCCCCCCCACTTCCCATATTTCAAAAAAATTCGAGGGAATCGACGATTCATTGTGTCTGTGTGATTTTTTCCTCCTGAAGAGCGTCGGCGCGTGTCCCATGGTGGACGGGGGGACGCTGAGGGAGGCGGCAGGTGGAGACAGGGAACACGGGCGAGAGAGGAGAGGAAGACAGGGCGAGGAAGAGGGAAGAGGCGTGGCAGCAGAGAGAGGCAGGGGAGTGGGGAGGAGGCGGCGGTGGCACAGGGAGGAAAGGGGGCGTCGTGCACAGGTGAAACATCCGGGCGCGGGCCGTGCAGGCAGCAGCCGACCCCCCCTGCCCCCGAATGCACGCGCACCCGCCCGGCAGCGGCCGCCAGGGCTCGTCGTCGTCGTCGTCGTCGTCGTCGTCGTCGTCGTCGTCGTCGTCGTCGTCGTCGTCGCGGCAGCGGCGGCCGGCCCACCAGCGTGCGCGGCGCCGCCGCCGAGGTGGCTGCCGGGACGCTGGCCTCGCGATGCGCACAGGAGGCGGGGGTATGGAGCGCGGACAACGGTGCGGCAGGTTGGCGTCGTGACGTCGGCGTGGGTTCGTGACCCAGACACGCTTGCGCCGTGAGCAAAACCACGACGGGGGGGGTTCGGCAATCTTCGGCCCGTCCCTGGCTAAGACAAAAAACCAGCCCAGGAGAAAAGGTCGGGACTCCTGGGGACCCGTACTGCAAATATCAGGACGTCGCGTGTCTCGGGACACCAGGCCCCGCCCGCCTGTGCCCTGTCTCCCTAATTCAAGCTGTGCGTAGCCCGCCTAGCTTTTAGCGGAAGAGGTTCGCTCTCGCCCCGCCGACCAAAACTGTTGTCATCACGATCGGCACCACCGCCGTGACAGGTTACACGGCAGAACGACCACCCTCAGAACAAGCACCCCTGTGAGCGAAGCGCTGTGCGAAACGCACCTGGTGAAGGAACCGAGCACGACTGTTCAACAAACGCCCAAGCCTGTTGAGCAGACGCCGGTGATGCGGGGCGGAGGTGGGGACCCTCTTTCTCCCTTGAACCGTCCACGTCGTCACAACTACCTCACCGAACACTGCCACCACGCTCGTCAGCCCTCACATCTGCCTCCCACTACCGCCATCAACCCTTCCCTTCTCATCGTCTCCTCGCTTGGCTGGAGGGACCAGGGAGACGGGTCATGGACCCTGGCAGGACCAGTCCTTCATCCCGAGTCATCATTTGAAGGCCCCAGAGTACAGGGAGGGCCCCAAGAGGCAGAGAACTGCACCAGCACAGCAACAAAAACACGAATGGCCCGCTGACGGTTAGGAGCTGTTGCTTAGCGCATCGCGGCGGCAGCCCTTGCGACACGCTATGCCCGGCAACCGGGTAGCGTCGTCGCTCCGCTCCGCGGGGCGGGGGCTCTGAAGGCTCGGGACGTTGGCGCTCGGGAGCGGGGTGGTGGTTAGCATGTCGCGCCGAAGCGTGGTGGGCCAGAACGGGTGGAGCGATGCGCTACCAGGTGGCGACATCCGAACCCTACCCCCCCAGAACCACCAATTCTCCTGAATCGATGGAAGGCGGGGGTAGGGCTCGAATTCCGCCGCGCGTTCAACGAATTCCGAACTCGACCCCCGCCGCCCATCTAGAATCCTGAATCGTGGATGGCTAAGCTGCAACTCACGACCGTGACCCTCGGGAGCCGCTTGCTTCCACGCGCCTACGTCTCAAGAGCTCCGAACTGCAGCAACTTTCTCGACCAAGCCAGAAAACATGATCTGAGTAAGGACTGGCTCGAGCACCAGAGGAAACTCTGCAATGACATCGCGGCTCTCCCCGAGGAGCACTTCCTGCGGAAACTCACGGTGCAAAGCCCACTCGCATCTGCCTCAAATCTGGGACGAGAGCCGTTCGCGCGCGAGTCCCAAATAGCCATGGGCTCTCCCAGCGTCTGCGCAACGCTGCCCTGACGAAAGTGTGAAGCTGCATTGGGTGCCTGTGCTCCGCGGTTCGGATCGCTCGGCCACTTGCAGCGCCGCCCCGTCGGTGTCGAAAGTGCACGGCCGGTGCAAGCCGTCCTTGCGGAGGTGTGGGCACCATCATGCTGTCGCAGCATAGGGGGGCACCAGTGGGCGAGATGCCGTAGACGACCGTGTCTAGTTGTCGGCGGTCCTGTGGGTTGGACAGCGGCGTTGGTATCCCGCATCCTGGGCTGGGCACCAGGGCAGTCCTCCTCCTCCTCCTCCTCCTTCTCCCCCTCCCCTCCTCCTCCTCCTCCTCCCCTCCCCTCCTCCTCCTCCTCCTCCTCCTCCTCCCCTCCTCCCCCTCCCCCTCCTCCTATTCCTCCTCCTCCTCCTCCTCCTCCTCCTTCTCCTCCTCCTCCTCCTCCTCCTCCTCCTCCTCCTCCCCTCGCCTGCCTGCCTGCTCCTCGGCTCGTGCTGCTCGCCCTCGCCACCCCGCGCCCCGCTGGCTCCGCCCGCCGCCACCAGCACGGAGCGGCCGTCTCTCCGCTCGCCCACTCTCGCTGGGGGGGCAACGGCACAGGGGGGGGGCAGGCTCGGGGGTAGGGCGCCCTCGTGAAGGGACCCAGGGGCACTTTTTTTTGATCCGCGGGTCGAGAGCGCACCTCTTCCGGTCGAAGCTAAGCGGGCCGCGCACAGCTTGAATTAACGAGAGGGGGGCAGAAGGAGGGGCCTCACATCAAGGCCAGGAGGGGGCAAAGCCCCAGAATCAGGCGGTGCCGAAGACGATGTGCTTGCAAAAATACGCCTTGGACAGGAACCCGGCGGCGAAGTACCGGAAGAAGCAAAATGCTGTGGTGGTGGTGGTGCCGTCAACGTGGACCCAGGGACACGGTACACAGACAAGCAGACCCCCCCCCCCACACACAACATCCCCATCTTTCCCCATATGCTTGCCTGGTGCTCGTCTTCCCCCACACACACTTCCCATGTTTCCCCATTTGTTCCTGGGAATCGAGGATTCAGCGTGTGTATGCGTGTTTTTCCCCTCCTGACATCGACCGGCAATCGGCGAAGCAAAAACGGCATGCTTCGAGGCGCGCGGTATTTTCCGACATGCTCGTCGGTTCCCGGCGCTCTTCCGGCCTCGGGCTAATTACACCTTCCAGCGGCTGCGCCTTGGCGAGAGCGCTCCGGGGATGCCCCGCTCGTCCCAAACGGCCGCCGGAGAGCCGAGCTATGATCCGAACAACCATCGCCGTCGAGCCTGGAATGCGTTCCGTCGGGCCTCGTCCGGGTACGCCTGGCGCCCCTCGACCGGACCCTCGCAAGCTCGGGGGCTTCGTCGAGCCTCGTCGGGGCACCCCTGGCGCGCCTCGACGGGACGCTCCAAGCTGGGGGTGCTCCGCCGAGCCTCGCCGGGGGCGCGCCTTGCGCCCCGTGGGGAGGCAACCTCGAGGAAAGACCTGGAACCAGCGCAACATCGCCGATAGATCGGCACTGGGCCCCGACAGCGACTCTGCACGCTCCTGGGCGGGGAAAGCCATCGGGCCCCCCCCACTGACGTTGAGGCATCGTGGGTGGCTGGGGATGGGGAGAATCAGGAGGAGGCAGGAACGCTCCTCATCTTCATCCTCCCACATCTCTCCCCACCTCCCCTCCGCCTCCTCCTCCACCTCTACCTCAACCTCTCCCCCCTCCTGCTCCTCCTCATCCCCAATCACACACTCGTGCTCCCCGTCCTGAAACTCCTCCTCCTCCTCCTCCTCCTCCTCCTCCTCCTCCTCTGACTCCCTCCGCCTCCTGCTCCTCCTCCTCCTCCTCCTCCTCCTCCTCCTCCTCCTCCTCCTCCTCTGGCTCCCTGCGCCTCGTCGCACTCTTCTTCCCCCCTGCGTCCTCGCATCTACCACGAGCTGATCATATATGCAGCGCGGCCTTGTTTGTCTCGCATGGTGAGCCTTGACGCACACGCGCGCGGGCGTGCGAGCACATCCGGACGGTGTGAAAGAAAACAGGCGTCGACCCGCTGTGAGCAAGATTGCCGGGGCGCGCTGGGTGCACTATAGGATTTGGGGCGGACAGCAGAGGACACATGGCATGCACCGGGGCACCAGAGGAGCGCACGGGCGGCGAGCGTGCGGGCACTTGGGGCATCATGCGACACCGCCGAGGCTGGAGTGAGCCCAGGAAGCAGGGCGCACGGGCACGATTCCAGAAACAAACAAAAAAAACAAGCATAAAAAAAGCTGCGAATTCATGGCGGAGGCAAGCCACAAAACTCTGTCGTGGACCACGCTGGGGGAGAAGCAGCAGCAGCAGCAGCAGCAGCAGCAGCAGCAGCAGCAGCAGCAGCAGGATGCGAAGGAGGGCCACGCCGCCGCCGTCGGCTCAGGCGCCGCCCTCCGCACCCGGCCGGCGCGGGTCGCCCCCCACGGCCCAGATCCCGAGGTCGCCAAGGAGGTCCGCCCAGGCGCCCTGCAGCTGGCAGCTCGCGCGCGGCGGCAGCGTGGCCTCGCCGCGCCGGTCCACGGCGGCGCAGGAGCTGCTGAAGGGGCCCCTCGGGAAGTGCGAGATGTGCTGCGTCCTCGTGAGCTCCGCGCCGCAGAGGTAGCAGAAGTGCGTCTTCCCCCGGCAGCGCTCGGAGGCGCAGGTCATGAAGTTGCACCCGCGGGCGCGCTCCACGGGCGCCCCGCACCGCGGGCAGCGCTGCCACTGCTTCTCCCTCATGAGCTCCTCGAAGGCCCGGTCCCCGGCCTCGTTCGCCCTCCGCCACGCCTCGTGCTCCGCGCAGGTCCGCCCAGGGTGCCCGCACAGGCAGCGCGGGCAGAAGCTCTGGTGGCAGCGCGGGCACTCCACCTCCGACGCGGATGCCGCGGCAACGAAGCGGGTGCAGTCTGGCGTCGGGCACACCACCAGCACCTCGGGCTCGTGCTCCCCCGGGCGCCACAGCTCCGCGCGGCCCGCCAAGAAGCGCTCCCACTGCGGCGTCCCCCGGGTCAGGCCCTCCACCTGCGGCACGGTGATCTCCGCGCCGCAGGCCGGCATGGGGCAGCACAGCTCGTCCGCCGCGAGCCGCTTCTCGCGGATCTT